GTCCTAGATGTAAAATTAATATTAATATTAAAATTTTTCGTGGCAGTTGCCATCGTCCTCGACATCGTCGTTGTTGTTGTCGTTGTCATTGTTGCTGATTTCGGCAGCGGTGGGTTCTTCCGGGTGGAAGGACCCTTCGCTGCCGTCGTCGTTGTCGCCTTCGTCCGTGTCCTCGTGCGGTCTGCCTCGAACTCCGGGGACGAAGAGGGGCTGATGCAAGGCGGCGCGCTTGGTGACCGTCCCGCTGTCGTTGTCTTCGTTGTTGTTGTAGTTGCTACCCTCTGTGGCCGGAGGGTCGACTGGCCGGATGCGTGGGTCCTCTCGAAGTGCAACTTGACTGCCTTGTACGGGCAGGCGCCGGAGTCTGTGAACCTGCACTCCGAACAGACCCACTTTAGTGAAGATGAAGGGTGGTGGTGCTTTAAATGTGTTTGCAAGACTGCTGTGCTGTGTTTGTAGACACCACTCCCTTTCATCTGGGCAGTCGAATCGAACTACCGCGCCTCGCCATTTGTACACTCTTCGCTGGCCATTATTGCGGGCGTCGTGCAAAGTCCGAGTTTGATGGTGAGGGCAGGCTGGCTGTCAGTCTTCGAAGCGCTCGACGCCTCGGATCTTCTCCCAAGGATGGTGGTGGTGGGGCCTCGTGAGCGACAGCGAGCACAGTACCTCACCTGTCCGTAAACACGGCGCTTCCCGGAATTTAACTTTCACTTTTACTCGCGCTCACGCACTCACGGGACGGGTTAATAGGTCTATATTTGAGCGCGAGTAGATAAATAATCGACCGCACGTAAATTAATAAAATAAATAAATAATTGTCAATGGATAAATAAATAAGAACGGACACTATTAAGTTAAAATAATCACACGCGAGAGGATAAAAACTAGACGATCACAAATAAATAGGTAAAATTCCGTAATGTAAATAGAATAAATAAATAAATTAACGGACACTGACAAGATAAAGCTTTTCACGAATAGGTAAATAAATAAATCTGACCACGAATAAATAGGTAAAATCACGAAAAGTAAGTAAATAAATAAATAAATAAGTCCACGACACAACACTCACGAATAAATAGAATAAAATGTAATAAAATAAATAAATTAAATTAAAATCCGTTGTATATCTTTGTTCTTATCGTCAGTAAACACGGGCGGGTGCGAGGGAAAACATAGCCAAAAGTCGAAACTGTTCGACGATTGAAAGTTCGAAAGTTGTCACTACCTCTGTTCACCTCCAGGTAGGGCACTCCCTCCGAGAGGGCAGCTCTCCTCCTCCTTCTGGTGGCGATGTCTTCCTTCCTTCCTTGGCTCCTTGGGGACACCGCTGCTGCCGCTCGCACCGTCCTCTCCCTCGCACCACTGGTCACCGCGCGCACTTTTTCCGGTCACTTTTCGCGCGCGTTTTCCCGTGCAACTTTTCTCGCTATCGATCCTGATTTTTGGAAGCACTTATTGGGCCAATCGCAGCGGTACTGCAATACCGGGCCGACCCGCGACTTCCAAAAATCAGGTTACGCTAAGTAAGATAACATAAACTTGAATACCGAACACAAACCTAACATAACCTAAATTAACACAAAATAAGGTGCCTATTACGGATTATAAGCATTGGGGCGACACCTGTTCAAGACAGGGATCACTGGCGTTCCCGTCAACATGCAGGCGCGCGCGCGCTAGATGTTCTACTGGACGGGGGAGTTCCCGGTAACGGGCGCATCGTTTCGGTCTCCGAGACCGATTCGAGCGCAATTGCTGCGCCCGGCGCCGAGATGTTGACCGACGCGGTACCGATTGGAAAAACACTCGCGAGAGCCGCCGCACCCCGAACGGCCGATTCCGGCGCGTTGTATTGCCGAACACCCGTGACATGTCACGGAACCACTGTCTCCGAAACCATCAGTCGCCTCATCAAGGCCGCGTACCTCGACGAGACGCGCAAGAGAGAGATGATCTTATCGTTGTGAAGATGCCAGGTGCCCAGGGCACTCACAACGAAGCCGTCGACGTACACGGTGTAACCGCTCCTGCCTAATGCGGCTGCCAGAGGCGCATATTTTTGAATTTTGACGAGCCTTGCTCGTTCAAGTGCCGAATAGGTGTTCTCGAAAGGAGACGAGTATGTCGGGACGCAGAGTCGCGAAGTCTTCAGGGTCACCCCGAACGCACCGGTTAATCCTCACTTCACCCGGTAGCCTGGAGACTGCGGCAAGTCTCTCGACGATCGCGTTATGGCGCAACTGCCAAGCGGCCGAGTGGGGGCCGCAGTGGCAGAGGAGCACGTGGGGCAAGGTCTCCGACTCATACCCGCATCGCCGGCAGCAGAAACGCTTCCACGGTCTTAATCTTCTGCCACGGGGCGAACAACGACGCGTTGACCGCCTCGAGGTCAGCAACCGATGTCGCGGTAGGGAGTCTGCTCGATTCGCGCCCCCGTGGAGATCCTCAGATGCGCGTATGCGTCTTCCTCTCTGAGTACGGGCAAGTTTTCGCTCGCTAGCCGAAAGGTTGTTGGGACTGGCTCGCCCCCAACCCCCAAGTGCAAAATTGCACAGTCCCAATGACCGCGCGATCCTCTCCGACGCTAAAAAGAGTTGCTCCATGCCGCGGCGATGAGCGCGATGTCGTAACCCTTTCGCCGAATACCTCGAACCCGGTTCCCGATTCCGTGGCCGCCCGGACCAACGGGTCGATCACCAGATCGAATAGTATTGGGCTCAAGGGGCAGCCCTGCCTTACTCCCGACCGCATGGGTATTGGGTCTGTGTAACCCTCGCGGGTGCGCACGGTGACCGTAGCGCCTCGATAGAGGCTGTCCACGATCGTTGATATCGCCGCGGGCACTCCGATATTCGGGAGGGTG